CAGGGCTTGGATCCGAGCCAGGGCTGGGGTCACCCATCCAGGGCTGGTGTGGGCGGTACGAGTGCCGTACTGATGGGGTACGGGGCTGCACCCCAGACCGGCAGCGGGAAGGAGAGCAGAGGGGAAATAGCAGCGTCTGGTTCTGCCGAGTCGTTATGGCAACTGCGCCGGCAGGAGTCTGGCCGCTTCTCGGCGGGGGCTGCCGGCAAGGGACGGACCCCGCACCCCGGGGCTACGGGGACAGGCGGGGCACCGGTGGGGGAGCAAAGCACGAGGAGCCGGTTGGCAGGGCGGGGGGATGCAGGCCGGGTGAGGGAGCTGCAGCAAGCAGTGCCGTCCCACCCCAGACCCGGGGGAGGGGCAGGGGGGCAAGGGGAGGCAGGCCGGTAGTGGCGGCTGCCGGTCGGGGGTGCTGTGAGAACTGAGCCCCAGGGACCGGCCCTTCCCGGGGGAACCTCTGCGGGCGCGGAGTGGGAGGCGGAGCCAGCTGGGAGAGCAGCGGGACCGGGTAGGGTGTTGGAGGCCTGGCCGGGCAGGGCCGGGGCATCTGTCGGGGCCGGGGGTTGGTGCCGTCGCTCACCGGCAGTAGCGGGTCCCGGCGGGTCCCGGCTCCGCATGGTGCTGAACGGACAGCGCCGCCGCGCTGCGCATGCGCCAGTCCGCCCGCCCCTGGCAGGGGCGTGCGCTGGGGACCGGGCAACCGGGGCCAGCCGGTGTGCACCAGGGAGCCGGGGAGCCGCGGGGCTGGAGGGACCGGTGTACACCGGGGAAGTGGGGATCTGGTGTGCGCGTGGTAACTGGGATAACTGAGGGACTGGGAGCGGTGGTGTGCACAGGGAAGCGGGTACGCCCGGGGAGCCCTTGTACCGGGGCTGGTGTGAGAGCCGCGCCGCTGCATCAGCCTGCGGGAGCCGCTGCGGCACCGGTAGGACCTGTGACTGCCGGCGCGCCCGCAGGGCCGGAGTCGCTCTGCTCCGCCAGGTGCCCCAGCGTGTCAGGGCCGAGCCCTCCCCGCCGCCCCGAGCGCTGCCGCTGTGCAAGGTCTGCGGCCGGGCCCCGGTAACGTGCGCGCTGCGGCCACCCGAGGTAACGGGGCGGGGCCGGGGGTGGGCCGGCCGGGCAGGCGTACTTCCGCCCGCCGGCGTGACGTTACGGCCGGACGCCGGCGTCTGGGTGAGGTGCAGCCGGATGGAGCAGGCGGGGCAGCGCCGGGTTGCGGCAGGTACCGGGCTGGGGGCGCTGGGGCCGCTGGGGCCGGGCAGTCGCATCGCTGTGGGGCCCTGCGGCAGGGGGGCGCGGAGCGTGGGTGTGCAGGCCCTGATGGGGCTACTGCGGCTCTGTCGCTTTGGCGGCGGGGCGGCAGCCCAGGAACTGGGCCGTTCAGGGGGTGAGCGAGGGGCGGTGGGGTAGGAACGGCTGAGCGGGAATGTCGTCCTCCCCTTTCCACCCTCCCCCCCCCCGCGGCTTCTGCTGGGGTCGTGTCAGACCGCAGCTCGGGAGGCTCCGGGCTGCCGGGACCCCTTTGCTCCCTCCTCGGTTCCTGCCCCTCCTCTGGCTACCCGAGGCTGTAGCCTCATCGGAGGGAGACCACTTTCGGGGAGTCCGGAGCGTTGTTGCTTTCCCCTCGAAAGGATCCGAGGGGCTCGGCACCTAGGGGACGAGCTGCCAGGTGGAGCGATGCTTAGCCGTGGAAGGGAGGCACAGCTGCTGTGTAGGTGATGCGGTAATGCTGCAGCAGTCGCTTGCTGCTTCGCTGAGGGACAGGAACACCTCAAAAGGCTGGTGGGAAGTCCCTACCCCGAGGGCAGTGCAGTCAGGTGAACTCGGATGCCTGAGCAGTGAGCGTCCCAGGCTGGGGAGGAGGTGATGCAGGTGGCAGGTGCCTGACCTGCTGACGGTCAAGGGGTGTTACCCTGCGGGCTGATGGTGGGAGACACTGCTGAGTCTTTCTTTCTGTCTGTTCCTCCTAGAAGCACCTGGCAGTAGGTGTGAGGATATCTAGCCTGGCTCCCACTGTAGCTTGGCTCCCTGACGTCTGATGATGAGTTTGACCCCCTCCAGGGGATGCCTCCTGGACCTGCCCTGGGAAGACATCTTGGTTCCACATATTCTCTGTCATCTGCCACTGCAGCAGCTCCTGAGCCTGCAGAGGGTCAGCAAGTCATTCCAGTCTCTCATCCAGCTGTACCTGGCCAATATGCGCTGCTTTGACTCAAGCCAGGTATTGGATGGCTCTGAGGCTGGGGGAGACACAGATGTCCTACTGATCTGGAGCTAACAGGGGAGCATCTGACTATGTGAGGTGAAGAACCCCCTGACAAGGAGGCTGGTTTCTGCTCAGGAGCTTGGGTTAATGGCTTGGGTGTCAGACTGGACAGATGGGCCCAGGGAGGAGAGGCAGTGATTCAGGACCCAGCAATGCCAGTGTCTTTAGCAAGAGGCTTTGGGAGGAGTGAACCAGGAAACTCCACCTGGGCCATTATGGGCACCAGCTGGCAGAGAAAGCCAGTCCTGAGTGGCACAGCCTGTTGTTCCTCACAGAGGCTGTGCGTTAGGGTGGGTCTGGTGGAAGATAATTCTGTCCCTCATCTCCAGGGAAAGCTTGTGCTCGCCCTGGGAGACATTGCCTGGGATTTGGAAAGGCTGGAGTAGCTGTTGTTCCGTGAGGACAGAGTGGTCTAGCAGAGTATTTGAAGAGTAAGGGTGTGGAGTTCATCACAAGTATGTAAATGATGATGTGGGATGGAGAAGTCCAAGCATATTCTAGCTTGTGGCAGTAGCCTTGGCATAAGGGGAGGAAAGTTTGACAGCAGGGTTTACTCTGTAATGAGAAAAGGGAGTGTCTTTGGTCACCACTGTCACAGTGGAATAGAGGAGGGGAGAGAGTACTAGGTGAGGATCAGGTGATCTGAAGCCCTGGGGGACACGTCATTCTTCCTGGGTTCCCCACGCAGATTGGACCTCCCATCCCTCGAGCTGCTTTCGTTAACCTGCTGAAGGACAACGAAGTACTGCAGCAGCTGGCACTCCAGAACTGCTCCGACTGGCTGACAGATGGGGAGCTGCTCCCAGTCATCGGGCAGAACCACCATCTGCACCACATCCAGCTGAAGGGCTGTGCCCAGCTCAGCCGCCATGCGCTGGTGGCCATCTCACTGAGCTGCCCCAGCCTGCGCCAGCTCTCCCTGGCCCACTGCGAGTGGGTAGACAGCCTGTCCCTGCGCAGCCTGGCTGACCACTGCAAGGCACTGGAGGCTGTGGACCTGACGGCCTGTCGCCAGCTGAAGGATGAGGCTATCTGCTACCTGGTGCAGAAGTGCAGCAGGCTCAAGTCCCTGTCTCTGGCTGTCAATGCCAACGTGGGTGATGTAGCGGTCGAGGAGATTGCCAAGTGCTGCCCTGAGCTGGAACACCTGGACCTCACAGGGTGTCTGCGAGTGAAAAATGATTCCATCAGGTACTAAGCAACCTGGGGACCTGGCGTGGGGATGGCAGGTACCTGGGGTGGGAAGTGGAAGAGAACCCAAGAGGAAAAGTTAGATTTCTTCATGCTAAAAGCAATGAGAGCTCAGACTGGGGGAGAAGACACTAACAGGCCCTTCAAGAGAGGCTACTAACAGCAGATTTCCCAGCATGTCGTGGAGGGTAGGTCTGGGACCCAGCCATGTCCCTGGAGTTTCTTTTAGACCACCAGGATACTGCTCCTAAAGGTTGGTACTTGTGGCACAGTGGTGAGCGCTGGGCTTCTGGGAGTAGAGAAGAGGGTGAGCAGTGCACTTAAGAATCCTGGCACGCAACTTGCACATGCTCTTTTTTGGCAGGGTCCTGGCTGAGTACTGTCCCAAGCTGCGCTCGCTGAAGGTGAAGCATTGCCACAACGTGGCTGAGTCCAGCCTGAGCATCCTCCGAAGCCGTGGGGTGGAGCTGGATGTGGAGCCTCCACTGCAGAGGGCTCTTGTTCTCCTGCAGGATGTGGTTGGCTTCGCCCCTTTCATCAACCTCCAGATCTAGAAGTGCTGCTGCTGGGGAGGGGGGGGAACTGACAAGACGCTGGGATCCTGGGAGGATGCCGGAACCAGCTGCTTTGGAGATATGCACAGGGAGAGGTTGGTCCCATTGGCAAGGCTGGCCTGAGTGGGGCTCACTCTTTCCTCTGAGGCTGCTCAGCAGCCACAGGGTCGGTAGTCATGAGTGGGCTTCATTGATGCCTCTGGGGAAAGTAACTCCCTTTGCAGTGGAGAGAGCGAGTGACTTGCAGGAACACCATGGTGCTGAACAGGCCTTGGCCAGGCCAGCTAGTAGATAGGATTTATTATTCGTATTTTAAATCTCTAAATGGCAGCTGTCCCGAGAGGAAAGTCTTTTATGGGGACTGTCCCCTGGGGTGTTGTGCAGGGCATGCCAGCAGAGCTGTGGAACACACCAGGCCAGCTGGAGTGAAGGAGAAAAGCTGCCAGCCCTCCTCCTGGGAGAGGGCAGGCCCCTCTGTGCTGCAGGAGGAGGGCAGAGTGAGTCCAGCTCCAGCCTGCAGCCACTCACCAGCCTGACACCAAATTGCTGACATGGCCCAGATCTAGGGTGCTGGTTTGGGCTGGTGCAAGGTGAGAGTTGTTCTCAGGGGGAACTTGCTTCTAACTGCAGTTTCACTGACAAAAAAACACCAGACCTAGCTGTGCTGTCACTGAAAGTGGTTGGTCATTCCTATTTGTTTCCCCCCAGTTTCTGACTTAATATTTCAGTAGTGCCCAGGCTAGCTATTATATCCTGCTCCGTGTGGCATGGCTGAAGCTTTGGCATCCAATACTGTTGAGAAATCACGGAGCCCTTGCTGTGCTGTCAGCTGGAGCTTATGGAGTGCTGCAGGTGGTGTTGGCAGGGAGCCTAGCTCTGGTTGGGAGTTCAGCCTCAGCCCTTGTATCTGCCAAGTGGTTAACCAAACAGCAGCTACATCTTATGGTGAATGTGGAAAGAATAAACAGTGGAAGAGAGAATGACCCTGCTCTTACCTTTGGCCCCAGGAGGGATTGGAGGTGGTGTCCACAAAGCATACGCATGCTCTAGCTGAACTACACGCCAACTCACATCTTTATTAATACTGGCACTCATTTTAAAGCAACAGTGCAGACTTGTAAAAAGGTTGCTGCAAAAGCACAAGCCACATCTTAGATCTAAAAATGTCCCATGCAAGGAATAGCAGAGAATGCCCAGGCCCTGGAGAACCACTGCAGTGTGCCCCTGGGGGCAGAGGGACAGCTACACAAGGAGAAGTCTCCCCTCAGCTGGGTTAGTTGAGGAAGCTGAAAGTAGTGTCCTGGCTCCCGGGTTAGTTCCAGTTAGTGGCAGGTGGAGGAGACCCCCATCCCTAGTGCTGTGTGTCCAGCCTGCCAAACCTGGCTGGCGAGGTGGAGGCTGAAGAACAGGAGGACCTGGCTGTCAGTGGAACTTATACTTCCTGGCTGGTTTGAGGCTAATGTAGGTTCTTTTCATCTCCTCGCTCTCAGGCTTCTTGATGTCTTTGTACCTTTCTCCCTTTGTACTCACCACCTGGTTATCGATATAGCGGATCAACTTCTTGGGAGCCTAGAGAGGAAAGATATTAACACCAAATGGGTGGCCAGCCATGCTGCTAGGGAAAGGGGGTGGACAAGCAGAAGCAGAGCTGTGCTGTCAGGGGGCAGAGGAAGACTGGGGTGTGCTGCTTTACCCATCCTTTGTGTTGGGAATCTTGGGCAAAACGGGAAGGAAGCTGTCTGATGGGCAAGGCCCACGATAGTCAGGAATGGTAGAAACTGACAGACCCTGCCACCCCTTAGCTAACCTGATCTTCCTTCTTCGCTTCCTAGTGGGCTCTGGGAATGTTCCTGCTCTGTTCTGCCCTGTTGTTTTCTGGACATGCAGCCTGATTTTTAAGCCTTGTAGCAAAGGACATTCAAACTGCTGGTGAGCTGGGACTGCTCTTCTTACCTCTTTGGGTGGAGCTGGTCGGTGGGTTTTCTGATCTTCTGCACTATCCACCATCATATATCTGAAACAAGATACATTTAGTGAACACTGTAACAAGCATTGCCTGGAGTTGTTCATAGCCTATGCCCTTTTCCCTCTGGCTGGTTTGTGGCTGTACAATGCGTCCTGCGTGCCTAGGTTGCAGCTAGGAGCACTTAACGTTATCCTCTGGATGAAACGGGCAAGAAGTGGTGTCATCCTTCTGGAAAGAATCGATAAGGATTCTCCTGGAGTAGCATCCTTGGCCATATGTGAATGGTATTGAAAACTTGGGCTGCTGAGAATGCTGACGGGCACTGCAGAACTGGAAGAGGTGCTCAGGTCTGGTGTGCTCTGCCATTGGGGCAGCTTTGCTTCTTCTCAGACCACCTGATGGCAGCCAAAGGAGACAGAGCTGAGATTACAGGACTAAGTTGGCTGCTTCTGCCCTGAAGAGATGGTGTTCCTTTCACGCTTCACCTACTACTTGATTGTGAAACAGGTCTGTGCTGTAAGCAACTTCATAAAAGCATCACCTCATTCCCTGTATGACTGAAACATCAGGGCCCAAACATTTGCTTGCTGTACTGCTGAGTTACTACTCTTGAGACTGGTGCTGGCTTAGCAGGCGGACAGCACAACTGACCATGACTTCTCCCTGGGTAGTTAGTATAGTTGTATCACTTGTATCTTCAGCTATGGTAATCTGCTCTCTGTACCTGTGCTTGAGTGATGTTTAAAGTACAGGACGTTGCCAAAATGTCATTAAAGTGAAGTTCCCAGAAACATAAATAGCAGCTTGGGCTTTTTTGTTCCCCTGCTTGTCACCCTGAAACAGGCCTGCACAGGAGGCAGGCAAAGACAGGGATTGCTAATTCTGCTTGGATGCCATTCTGCTTTGCTTTATCTTCCTTGGAGCATTGACTGTCTCCCCATTCTGTCACTGGGGAGGATGTAAAGTGGTGGAAAAGATGTGGCTGGATAGACGTGCAATCTATATGCCCACAGGACATCGGTGAAAGTAGATCGATGAAACCACAGTGTGGGTTCTCCTACTGAAAATTAAATGCTTTTGGAAATGAATAACGGTAAACCAGTCTAAAGCCACTTTCATTCCTAAGAAGTCCATAGGGGCACTTCAGTGAGGTTTCTTTAAATGTATTGAATTCACATGTTCAACAAGTGAGATTTAATCTTCCCAGTGTTGCTGTACACACAGTCTCTTAAAGGTATCTTTAGTCCTGTTTGGACTGTCTCCAAGGATGGCGGTATGAATGAGCTGCTGTAGTTTTACAAGTCACAGTGTGTTACCTGAGCTGCAGCATGATGTTTGTGTGTTGAACTTTTAACCAGGACCTCAGCTGGCAGTACTGTGACTTACACTGTACCTGCAGGAGGTTCAAACCTCACACACAGCCAGTGCTGTGACACAGCTGGTGCAGGTAACCTGTTCCTGTGCCACAGCTCTAAAACAAACCCAAACCTATTTTTTTTTCCCACATGATGGTTCTATTTGTAGTTGCATTCAGCTGTACCTGAATCAGCTTCACAGCATCCTTACTAAACATCGTACACCCCAAGTTCTTTATAGACTATACTGCCATTCTGACCTTCCCCAAACTGTGACCTCTTACTTTATTTGGAGGAAAATGAGGGGTTCTCTGCTGCTGGGTACTTACTTCTGTAGGATAACCTGTTTGAGTTCCTCATGGTTGGGCACTCTCCGAGGCCGTGCCAGTTCCTGGGAAGAGACAAGGTGGTGTGTGAGTGGCACAACATGTGGGGTGTACACCTAATCCCTGCAAGCTTGGTAAGCCCAGCTGCTGCTGGAGCACTCCAGCTCCTGTGGGAAGCGGGGTACCAGCCACAGCTCCACTGGGGTGTTGGCTCAGTGGTGGGCACAGAGCAAAGGGAAAGGAAAGGGGCTGTTGTTCTGGGTGATCCTCCTGGTTCATTGCACAGGGAGTTCCTGTGGTTAAAGCTGCTTGCAGCAGAGAGCGGGGACACCCGCGTGCCCCTGAGCTCTGCCCTGCTCCCTAGCCTGCTGCCGCCCAGCTATGAGTACTGTACCTTCACACTCGCACCTGCCGGGCCAATTTCTACTTTCTCCTCCACAATTAACTGCACTGCCTCCTCCAAGTTCCCCAAGGCCATGGCAATCGCCTTCTCTGCCTGGCTCACGGTACAAGCCGGGAACATCTCCAGCAGCAGCTCCACACCATCCTTCAAGTTATTGCCTTCCTAGTTGGAGCAAGAGACAGAGGTAAGATGGGGATATGGTGAGCTATTGAAAAGGGCCTTTCTGGTTTTGCATTGTCAGGAAACTTGGCCTGCCCTCAGCTGAAGGCTCTCTCCATACAAACATGATTAAATACCACTCCCAAAGCTAACAGGGGATCGTATCTTTGCAAGGACAAAGCATTGCTCTTCCTTAATCTTCTCCCCCTCTATTTCAACACTCTTTAAAGTAGGGCTGCTGTGAACTGACTCATCTGTGGCCATGCTATGTGCCTCCGTAGGAGTGAGCTTTCTGGACACCATGGTGTAATGCTTGAACTCCTGCTCACCTTGTGAAATTTTATGTGCTTTGATCAGAAAGGGAAGGGACTGCTAAGCAGTGACCTGTGACTACATAGCAGCAGCATTTGCTAGAAGCCTGTGGATGCAGAATCATTGCACTGCAGAGCAGGAAGAGGTAAGTAGTGGAAAAAGAGCAAGCAGAGTGTGAGGGAAGGAGGTGGGGGAGAGGGATCTACCAGGTGCTGCAGTGACTGTGGCATGGGTCATACTGAATGGTGCCGCAGGATCAGGACCGCTGGGCCAATGACTCAGTGCTGTAAAGCTCTGTAAACGCACAGCGTAGTCATTGAGGGTCTGGACTGGCATCTTCAGGACTGACACACAGAGAGCTGGAACTGCTTCCTGTGCAGATAACTGTATGACAGCTGGGGAGAGAAATGGTGATCCACCTCAAACTGCTGAGTGAGGCAAGGGGAACAGGGTGAAGCGAGGTGGAGTGCTGTAGAGGTATCCCCATGGTGCTGCTGTGGGATCTCTGAGGGCACTGGGACAGGCTCTCTCAACCATTGCTCTGGCTCATCTTTTCCAGTGGGTAGAAAGGATGAGCCAGAGTGATGGCTCATGTTCTTCTGTCAGCTTGTAATTTTCTCTTTCAATTTACGCAATCTTGCTCAGGCCATACCATGGAGATCACAGACACCAGTGATGCTGTCACAGCCTATGCTGTCATTCCCTCCAGAGCCAGAAAATGCCCTCAGGTGGTGCTGGTAGCCTAGTGCTGGGTGACTGTCCCCATTGCTTCTGCTCCTCTGCAGGGTTCTCATACCTGGACCTCGGCTCCGTCTGTTAGAGTGCACTGCCCTTCCCCGTTGCAGGCTCCAGCTCCAGGCTCCTGGCCCTTGGTCAGGTCTTCAGAGGGTGCTTCACTTCCATTTTTCACAGCCTTTTGGCCAGGTTTTTCTTAAAGACATAGTGATATCTCCTGAGGAACAGTCCCACTAAGGCTAGAGCTCTGTTTTCTGTTGCCATTAGATTGCTAGCACATTGTGTGCCAAGCAAATCCTTTCTTAAGTGACGAGACTGGAAAGTACTACTGTTCCTCCTGCCCTCAGAGGCAACACCTACTCTGCTCATCCTGCCCTGCAGGTAAGCAGTGCTAGCACATGCTGGAGCTTCTGAATGCTGCATTTCCAGGTCTTACAGGGTGCAGGCTGCTTGTGAATTCAATTCTGTCAATTCTCGGCCCTCTAATGCCTTGGCTGTGGATACTTACGGCATTTTTATTAACATTTCTAAGAATGGTGTTTGCTGTAACTTTGAACTAAGGCGTGGTTTTGATTTAAAATTTGGGAATACACTGTGGTAGCCCCCAGGCTTATGTGAGTCAGCACATCCTGTGATCAGGTTACTCTGATGCGTCTCTCTTTACAGGCTCTTTCTGTGTCACTGTAATTGTTTCACCTCTGTCCTGACCTCTCTAAAACTGGGATGGCGCTGTCCTTTCACATTCTGGCTACATCAGGATCCTCAAAAGGAAAGTGTAGGGGACCAGAGCAGAAGATTTTGTCAAGTTCGAGAAAGCAGCAAGTAAGATAAAAGACAGGACTGTCTACGCTGTTCTGCGCTGTGTAGCCTTCTGGCAAGGCAGCAGTAATGTTGCTAGATAAGCAAAACCAAGACTGGTATGTCTTGAAAGGTTTAATATCCAAGCATTTCACATGCCTGTTCTTTAGTGGGAAGTACCTTTGGAGCTGATTAACATAGCAATCCAGCTGATCATGAATACTGATGTTAGAAAGCGCCACTGGGATAATGCAGTCTTCTGCAGTCCTGCATTGTGCAGGCCAAGGCACATCACTGCTGATTTTGCAGCCATGCCAGGATTCATGGGTGAACAGGAAGTGAGCTTTGAGGATGCTGAAAGCCTAGAAGTGATACAAGCAATCAGCTGGATTTTCTACTTGATGAGGCACCTGACATGGGCTACCCAGTGGTGGTGTTGCTTAGGCAGATGGCTAAGAGAGGCAGGCAGAAATGCTCACTTTCAGAATTAACCTAGAGCAGAATTTCAACAAGCAGCACTGTGTCTGTCATTTCTTCCCTATTACTCTGGATGTGATCTCAACGATGCTGTTTGGAGATCTGATCAAGTGTTTTTCACCCCAGTATGTCTTGGACAGTATTCCACGACTCAAACCTCCTATGTATTGGTATCAAAAACCTGACTGAACATAAAACCAAAAAAAAGGTCAATCAATTCAGTTTCCCTTTTGAGAGTGTAAGTGTGGCAAACAAGATTGTATTTTATCCTGTGACACTGCTCAGCTCCAAATACTAGGACTGAAAACACGTGCAGAATATACCTTCTTGTGCTGAAATTGTCTGTGTAACTCACCTTTGTTGCGAGCTTCACCAAGCCTCTCTGAGAGAGAGAACATCATTTCACAAACATCCCCACTGTAAGAGACAGAAGCTGCAAAATTAGTGCGAGGAATAAGAACAGTAGCCTATCCTACTTAGCTACCTCATTACAGGAAGACAAGACTTGCTGGGCAGCCCAACAAAATTAACTGGCATTTCAGATAGCAAAGTACTTACTTGCAAACTATACTGGGATTAGCCATCTGTGTGTTCAGGGAAAGACTGTCTTAATCACAATCGCACAGGTTTGGTACCAATACATCTTCAACTTGGTATAGCAAAAGAAGGGGGGCTTGGGTCCAGGCCCCCAGTGCATGGCATGCACGTACAAAGCAATAACATTCACATACCTGTGGATTTCTGCAAAGCCAGGGATATACGCCTCCATCATTTCCACAAAAGTGTCCATGTCAAAAGTCTCCTCAGAGGACTCTGGTGAGCCCAGCTCTTCTAGGACACCCGTGATATAGGAGAAGAAAACATCATCCATCCCACTGGAGACAGAAACAAATGGGATGTGGCAGCAGAGTCAGCAGGCACTTTTTTTCTCTCTCTCCATCCCATTCCATCTAACCTTGTCTCTTTCTAATACAGAAGCAGAAGGACCGCTGTGGACTGTATCTTGGGCAGATCCCACCAGTAAAGCCAGGTAGCAGCTGGACAGTGGTAGACTGGAAAGCATTTACAAATGAAACACTGCATTGCTGTCCTGGGCAGCACTGAAGGAAAGCTGCAGCGTGTGCCCAGATGCTGTGCTCCTGCAGGTGCTTCAGCTGAGCTAACAAAAATATTCCAAGTGCTCAAACCCTCACTTTTCTGTGCTGACTGGTGTTTCAGGTGGGGTCACCATGTTCTGTCAAGTTGCTATTTCTATGGGATGCAGTATTCTCTGCTTGCTGCTCTCCACACTTGTGTCACTGCTGCCACCAGCTGCCAAAACAGCTGCTGTATTCCAGCCTCAAGTGGGCTGTATCTCTGCATGCATGTGGAATTCAAAATAGGGAGAGCTCTGACATAGTGTTAGGCTGCTCAGAAAGCCCTTAGGGAGCTCTGTGGAATGAAAAGAATTCCATATTCTAATGTGTATTACTGGACAGGAAATTAATTATCTTGGTCATCAAAGATATTACATTACTAGATAGTTATTCAAGCATTCCCATCAGAGCCTGTGCAAATTACCTGCATCCTGGATCTGACTTAAGGAAAGGTAACACGAAGTACAGGAAAACTAGAGAGTTCAGTATAATGTGTAGAGGGACAATTAATGCAAAGTTCAGTCTAGAGCAATGATACTGGATTTTGCTAACTCAACATACCTGAGGTCTGCTGCAGGGATGTTGGACTGGATGAAGTGTGTCAGCGTGCCTCGAATGATCCTTTCAAGCTCCATGTCTCTCTAAACCTTTTCCTCTAAAAAAAAAAAATGGAGGAAAAAGAAAACTCCATGTAATTTCAAAGGCAAGAAGATCAAAATATCAACCAGATCAAAAGCTAGGCTTGGTATAGGCCAGTGTATTCTCCTCACGAGAAAAATTCACAAACTGCTCCTTGTCATCCCTGGGTAACACTAAGCAAAGATAACCACACCAAGCAGCACTATTAGAATCCACTGGAAATACAAGCCCACAGCAGTCCCAGTATCTTGGGCCTCTCCAGCTCGTGTTGATGCTGGCAGTATGCAGTTGTACTGTACATTTAAAACATCCCTTCCAGGAAGCAAAGCTGGAAATGCAGATGTGTCCAGCTGCAAGACTTCAGAGACACCTCCTGAGTTGGAACGCTGAGTTGTCTGGCAAGGAAGCAGCAACTAGTGAGTTTGCATGCTCAGTGCAGAGAGGGGTGAACCTTCCAGCCAAGAGCATTTGCAGTGATGCTTGGACTCAGGAACAAGTAGGAGGAAGGGTAATGTCTCCTAAAGAAAGGACAACCTAGAGCATATTTTACAGGGAAATACCAAGCAGGGCACAGACAACTAGTCTGCCAGCCAAAATATCAAAGGTCTCCAGGTCAGGCACGGACTGCCAGTGGAATCCCACCCAAACAGGAGCCTGTTGTTCTGCTCAGTAAATGAGCCATTTTGCAGTTGATGCAGCTGCAACAAGCGGCATTTGATAATCCAAAACTCAGGGGAGTTCTAAGAATCACAGAGCTCCTACAGAAGCAATGGCAGAGAGGGGCTGCCCACAGCCTTCCTTCAGCTATCAGTACTAGGCCTGGTCTAAAATGGATGGAAAAAAGCCATTAATGGTAACCATTCCCCCCAGGGTTTACAAAGCTGTTGGGTGGACAAACTCCTGCTGTAAGCACCGAGTTCTTCCAAGGAAGCAAACTAGCCCTGCATAAAGAGAAATTCATGTGGTCATCAGCCAGAGAGCTTCAAAAGGTTATCATTTTCCCACCAGTGCAGCTCCCTCATTCCAACCACATCAGGACCTGACCAGTTCTGTTTGACACAGAACTCATGGGGCAGTCATGTGGGTTGCTGAAAGACAGGACTGTTGTTCCTATGGGAATAGAAAAGGTTTGGCGTTTCCAGAGATGAGACTTCCAGAGCTAGCAGGATATAGACAAACCCCCCCAATGGCACTCAACACTGCTCTTGCATTACCTACAGAGAACCAAAGCCCATCAGCCTGTTGCTAGGTCCATCTCCAGTCTCCGGGCCCATTCAATCTGCCTCAGGCTGCCACTGCAGATGCCAAGAAAGTACATGTACTCCTCTTTGTGGCTGGCCAGATGAGCACACCCAAGCTGGTTAGACTGGCCCCTGGCTATAGCCATATTGAAGTTCTAGAGATTTGACTCTCCATCCTGAGGGAGAAAGCTGTGACACAAGCTTGTGCAAAAGTGCTTTGCTGGGTATATGGCATCACACACTACATCTCCCTGCAGCGATTCCCCATCAAATACTCCCAGTCTGTGCTCTTCTACTCTTCCAGCTTTTGACCAAATGCAGGTTTTGCTACCTTTACTGAATCTCTGTGTCAGTGCCATTCTCTTGGGGCAGCAGGAGACAAATACAGAAAGAACTTCACAGTAAAGGGACACGAGCAGTGAAACATACTCATACAGAGAACTGACCCAATTTTCACTGTGTTCAAAGTGAAACACAGAAGCCATCTAATCACCTAAAGTTCCCTGCAGATACTAGTAGTATCAACCCTCCCACTGATCTAGATCCACTAACTAGAAGAGAAAGCAAACCTTCTTCACACGTTTCCCTCTCACTTGGGGAAATGAACAGTTATAAGTGCTGTACCACTGTATGACCAACATCCATGTATTCAAACACAGCACATGCAGAAACAGCCAGAGAAAAACATCATCAGAAAGGACTGTTTACTGTTTCTGTCTTAAGCTAAAAAATTTCTTTGCCTCCTGTAATTTCAATTAGGAAATTCCCATTTAATCACATTAGAGGAAGACAAGATTCCAGACTTCTTCAGGTAGGAGCTCTTCATACACAACTAAACTGAGCTGCTGAGTTGCTTTCATTTTTCAGCCTCACAAGGGTCTTTTGTTTTGCATTTTTCTCTCCCATTTGTTTCTATGTGTTTTGTGTGTTCTCTAGTGGTGCAACAGAACCAACTTTATCTTTGTCATCTTTGCAATGTACCCAGAAAAAAAAGGTGAGCTTTGTTCTATCCTTCTCTGTCGTGGTTTAAACCCAGTCAGGCAACTTGTTCACTCACTCCCCCCCTTCTTTTCCTCCCCCTACTCCCGGAGGGACAGAGAGGAGAATCAAAAAGAATGCAACTACCACGAGTTGAGGTAAGAACAGTTTAGTAACTAAGGTATAACACAAATCACTACTGCTACCATCAATAGTAATAATGATAAGGGAAATAACAAGGGAAGAGGATACAACACCTCACCACCCACCCACCGATAACTTGCCCCACCCCACCAGACCAAGCACCGACCCATACCTCCTCCAACCCTGCAGTCTACCAGCCCGTCCGGGTAACTCCAAGTTACATCCTGGGCATGACGTGCTGTGGTATGGAATACCTCTTTGGTCAGTTTGGGTCAGGTGTCCTGTCTTTGCTTCCTCCCAGCTTCCCCTCCTCCCTGGCAGAGCATGAGGCTCACAAAGTCCTTGGCCAGACTAAAACATCAGTGTTATCAGCACTGTTCCCAGGCTGAAAGTCAAAACACAGCACTGCACCAGCTACCAAGAAGGAGAAAAATGACTGCTACTGCTGAACCCAGGACATTCTCAGACACCAAAAAGCCAATTATAAGATTCTGAATCTCACTGTTGGCAAGAATACTGTCCTAAGCAGCATGTTTCTGCCCCATTTTAAGCTAAATTTGCAAATGTTGGCAACTACAAAGCCCCCTGAACTTGTAAGTACAAGAAAAGTAATTTTCTTTCTTTACAGAAATCAGGGATGTGAAATCAACATACAGCAGCCAAAATGTAGTTACTATGGTCACTGCTATCAAGAAGAATGCTTATTTCATCCTTAGTCTTCATGATATCCTGGGAACTGGAAGCCTAAAATATTTTGTCCATTTCTGTGAAACAGGCCAATATCATATGAGAGATGAAGCTATAGTAACCAATACCATTTCCTAACAACCCAATTACCTGAACGACAGAGCACAATTCACCATGTCAAAGGCACTTTTGTGAGGTCCATAAATTAAGTGCTGGTAATTTATTCTGATCAATAGCAGAGACAAAGTCACTCATGTCCTTAATCAAAGACACTTGCAGGCAAATGTCAGACTGGGATGAGAGAAACACAGAAAAAAGGAATTCAGCAACAGGATTATTGTAGCTGTGGCCAGTCACTAACTGGTCTTGAATCCATTCCTCAGTCCCTGACAACCACAAGAAATGCTGGTGTGAAATGTTTGGAAATATTCAGGTATTTTCCTGTGGAATTACTATGCTGTACCTGAACAAAGGCAGACTCTTCTGTCTATGAGAGGAGAGAAGGCAGCACATTTTAATAACTGGGCATAAATTCCCTTTGGCATCTGAGTCAAATCCATCCACCAGGATACTTGGATTTAAGGTTTACATCCAGAGAAGGCAAGCTGCCACCTTTAGACTACCTTTGGTGGAAAGAAACCCTGTAATTGACAAAAGCACAGTCTTACACTGAAGGACAGAAAGCAGCTTGGTGATCAAGTATTTCTTCAAGGGTCAGACAACGACCTTTCACGCAAAGAACCCATCCCTACTCCTGTAAAACCCAAGGCACCAAGAGAGACAAATGCACTTGCATTTGAACATTTATTGCCACAAGAGAGAAATTTTGTTACATGGTAAACATTCCTTAAAAAACTTATAATCTGGGGGAATCTGTAGTGCACAATGGTCTTGCCCAAAAGAGGTTCGTGGAAGACAAATCCTGAAGCTCCTCAGGCCTTTCAGATTTGGTGTGTATTTTCTTGAAATAGAGCTGGTTAAAAACATATATACAAACATTTTTAAATGGATTCTTCAAGGAATAAACTGGCGTTGCTGCATGTCCTTTCCCCACAGCCAAGCTCAGAATTACATAACTTAGCACACCAACACACCTGAGGCATTATACCTGCAAATGCCAATTTTTTTTCTAGTGGGGACCTGCAGTAGGTAAGGGGGAGATTTACTAGAAGGGCTTATCCTAAGAGCACAGTTTTGTGAAGGAGTGATTTATAATGCATAGAACAATCTAAAACCCAAATACAGGAAAAACACTCTCCTGAGAACTCAAATTTTACTGAAAAGTGTTACTATTGCTTTAAACTTCCACCTATAATTGCAATGAGGATTTTAAGATCACTTCAGTATTTGTCAGTCAATTCAAATATACCTATGAAAGTCCTGCATTTCTTGTTATTATAATATGGGCTCTGCTTAACGTTTTGCACAGAATCTATTTCTTCAAAACATATGGTCAAGAAATGGTATTGCTATTGCTCTGGCCTTAGCTAGAGCCTCACAGTCTTGCACTGTCAGAACAAGAGACTTTCAACCTTTGGAAACCCCTGTCACTTTTTAGTCTTTAAACACTGGGGTTTATTATTAAAGAGTGAAAAAGTATTGGAGCACTGTATGTCACCTCATTAAGACAGACTTGGTTTGAAATATCAGGAGTGAGCCACATAATATCGCATATGGATTTCCTCACCTTAGAGAAAAATTGTATCAGTTCTTAAAAGTGTGAAAATTACTCGGTTTTGTACTAGATAACTTTGCCCAGCAGCTCAACCGTTTGCTACTCTGCTGTCTGTCTTGAGGATGTAGTAATCTCCATCACCTTTGCGTTTTCTCCTAACATGTTAATGTCAGATTTGTTGGTTTTGTGATGGCTTTGTTTTGTTTTTTTTTTAAACAGCTCTATAAATAATACTCCTCTAAAAGCCTTGTTATCCTTGTGGTGTCTGAAATACCTACTTATGCTATATTCAAGCTTCTTTTTGTACAACTCGTATGAATCTGCCTTCCTTAAAAAGAAACAAATGGTGAAAATCTGAAACATTTACATAAAGCTATATCATTTCCGAAGGCTCTTTCAACTCAAATGTCAGTAATCATTCTCAAATGTCAATGTGACAAGATGGGAATAATTGATTGTGCCTTGGACTTAATGTTAACAAGACAGACTGAGGACAGCAATTTAGGAAGGTGTTTCTGAGCCAAGAGGAACTGCCATTTGGATGTGTATCAACTTTTATGAGATCATAAATTTGCCTACCAATGATTTCAGGTTTCTGCCAGTGGAAGGAGATGGGTGTTGTATGCCTTGGATGTTTCTCAGAACAGGCTAGACAAAGTTTAAGTAAATCTGATCTGGCTGAGGGATTGACTAAAACATCTCAAGAAGGCTCCTTTAGCTCAAGTTGCAGCAATTATTCCTGAGTAAGTAATGGGGCAAGGGTGGCTCACTATGCTCTCTCCAAAAACTTGTTACAAGAAATTGCAGACCAGGTCTTACACAGCTCTGTGTGTGTATACACACGTGCCTCTCCTTGGGGAAGTGTAGATCCCTGAGATATAAGGAGCTCTCAGTGTAGCCTGAGATATACAGCCTCAGAGGAAATCTCTCAAAAGCCAGAGACAGAGCATGAACTGTGGCTACATTCCATTGAACTATTTTACCTCTTGAAACTTTGCTGGCTTAGAAGAAAACTTTCCAGGCCAAGCACCACCTTACAGATGTAATTTCAGAGCTCCCATTTTTTGTTTTGCTGGCTAAAAAAGTCCCTGACTTTCACAGTGTGGGTGCCATGCGAAAGCCGGCTGAGGTCATTGTGCACGTTAACACAATTAACTGCCTAATGCTCTAACACTGAAGCCAGGGTTTTGTTAACAACTTAGTCCTACTAACTGCAGTAATAGAAGATGGTAATGCCAGTGGCCAGCCTCTTCCCTTCCCCCAGATCTACACTGGACTGCACTTGGGTGCTCTGCTGACACAGGTCCCTTAACTGAGCAGAAGTACCACCTGTGCCAGGACCGCAGCTTACCACCAGTGTTTACAAAGTCACTTCAGTGCCTGTGGAAGAGTCAAGGGTCCATCCTATGACTGTTTGGCCCAAGCCATCAATGAGCGAGCAAGTCCTTTATGGAAAAGGAAAGCTGAATTAGCTGGAGCAGGAGCACAACAAAGTCATTCTCTGTGTATTGGTGTCTTTATACTTTATGTCACTTGTGACTGTTTCCCCTAACACAGAAGGTACAGCTTTAACCTTTGGAATAAAACACACTATATGAAAGGATAACTTGATGTGAGAGTAGCATACTTGTCGGCCTTCAAACCTGCCGCCATGCTTGGGATGCTTTTCAAAACTCAGTTTCTGCAGCAAGGCCTCCAGTGGTCCCTGAATACCACTGATGTACTCCAAAAGCACTGGTGGCTTCACCGCCACTGGGAAACAGGACTTGTTGGTGGTGGCTTTAACCATAAAGACCAAAAAGTGATGGCCAGGCTTCCCCTCTGCAGCTTCACTGTGCTTGGGCACATCACCACAGCTACTGCATCACAAGCCCCCACACTGGATGAATGGCTGGTGGTCACCTGGAGCAGTAATCTCACCCCAACCCACTGTCCGAGCAGCTCTGGGCCATTACTGGTTTCCACGGGGTCTGTTGCCCCCCTCGCTAGCAGACAAGAATTATCCCATGAGGCTTGACAGAATTTGGCAACCGAGCCGCAGAAACACACCGCGCAAAGCCGGAGCCTCCGTGACCCACGTGCAAAACGCGCCAGCTCACACCGCAGCCGGTGACGGCCATGCGGCGCCGGGGCCCGTGCCCAGACCTCGGCCTGCAGACGCCACCGTTACGCACACCTCCCGCTCCGGTACCTGCCGGCGCGTTCCCGCGCTGCGGACCCCAGAGTTCAGCCGAAGGCGCGGGCTCCCTTGGTTCCCGCGCTCCCCGAGGCGCCGCGGAGACACCGGCCGCGGCGGGGGCTGCAGTACGAGTCTGCGGGAGCTGCCGCCAGTGGCCGGCCCCGGCCCCACAGCCCCCCCTTTCTGCTAGGGTCACCCCTGACGCCGTGGGTGAGGTCAGGGTGATCACCTGACGGCCCGCGCGCCCCCGCCGCGGCCTGGTTCCCTCCCGGCGCGCAGGTCCCGCGCGGCGCGGTTGAAAGCGTCACGTGGTCTCGCGCGGCGCCAGCCATAGAGGCGGTCGCGGAAGGGTAAGAGCGGTGTCGTTCTGGAGCGCTGCCCGCGCCGCCATGTTGGTTACGGGCAGGATCAGGGAGGCGGCAGGTGCGAGGCGGTCTCCGCTCAGGCCTGGGCTTGACAGCGGCTCCGAGTCCTGCCGTGCTCTGCGGAGCCCAGGCTGGTGTCCGCGCTGCGGCCCCGGGGTGCGCGGGGCACGGGTGAAGGCGGAGAGGAAACAAAATGCGGCACAGCGGGGCGGCTGCGAGCATGCCCAGACCTTGATAGAACAGTGTCTCTGTGAGGCCCGGGAACGTGGCAGCAGTGCTCTGTGGAGTCACCCTAACGCAGACTTAGGTGTAATTCTCCTCTTTTCCACGTGCAAGAGATAATGTTCCCTCATGAAAATAGTACATATTCAGCTGTTTGGGCAAAGGTAGGAGGCTTCTCCCTAGCCAAAGCTCTTGTCGGGTGGAAACACCTTCCGAAGGGCGTTCTCCAAGCTGATGTCTGCAGAAACTGGGAGCTGCATGCAGAGCCTCCTGGCTCAGCTCCTTCCGCTGCTAAAAACCGCTTCACCCTATGCTCGCCAAGCCACTGCTTATACTTTTATTCTGGCAATTTGGAGGACTACGGTGCATCAGGGCAGCTTTAAGCTCTGGCAGAAATCACAGTGCAGTCGTGCTTTTGCCCTGCTTGCTGGTTGCAGTCCCCTTCCCCCATCAGGTGAGCTGCTCTTTGGTTTACTGGGCGCTGACTACGACAGTAGGTACTTCCTGGAGCAGCTGTGGAGGAGTAATTCTCTGATGCCAGGTGCTTCTCCTTCATAAAAATGCTAAAGCAGCAAGGCATAGTAATTCTCTGACTCATGCTCCTCAGTAATGTGTTGCTAAATACCAAACAAATGAGTCTGATTCTGCCTTTGGCAGTACCAGGAAAAATCCAGAGTAACACCAGCTGGGTAGGGAACATCCCACTCACTCCAGCGTCATTAAGAGCAGAGGCTGTATCCATTATTTATTTCCATTTAAATGCATATACATTCATCCCTTGATGTGTGAATATACTCCATTGTAGGAGTATACACTGTCTGTGAATTATTCTGCTTTTAACTGTTTTTTTTTTTTCTGCACTTACCCATACATTAACTGGAACTAATCAGCCGTGCAGCATTATCTGTCCTCTGATCTGTGGTTTACCTTAGCTTAGGAAATAGTTCGAAAATCTCCCCACAAGCCTGCTGTTTCTAGGATAGGTTTCAGCTTGTGTGACCTCCACTATGCAATGAACACAATGAAAATGCAGCTGCTTCTGGGCCAGGTACACAGTAGAAATTGAATTACAACACAGTGAAGTGAAAGGGGAAATTTTGAGGAAAATCACTCGTAAATCCCCTAAAAATCAACAGTCTTTAAAGCTAAGAGAAAAAAATGCAATTACCCTATCTGACCTAACCCCTCTCCTCAATTCTTGACTGAACTCGAACAGAGCTTCCTGGACTAGTCTATGTTATGAGAGCATATGAGGTTACCAGCTTTTTCCACAGGTGGTTCATGGCACCCTCTTTGTCAGCAGAATTGAAGGAGTTATTTGTCTTGTCTCAGCCTGCTTTGTAGTTTCCTTGACTTACTTGGAAACCTCGAGGCCCATGAGAAATGTTGAGAGTTTTCAGATGCCACCAATTCTGACAATGTGTAAATCCTTACAAATCCTATGGTTTGTGAATTGCAGGTTTCAGGACAACAGGCAGGACTTCTGCTTGGTTCTGTTGTCATGTTTATTTTTTTTCTACTGTAAATACTTTGAAATTTACCATCAACCTGGCTGATGATTGTCACTGTATCCTGGGGTCATGAAGGGAGGAAAAAAACCACAATGGGCTTTGAAGCAGATGTCTCAGAGAATCTAAAAAAGTTCAAATGCCACTAAAATTCTCCTATAGCTGCTCAGACTTCTCTCTTTTAGCCTACTTTCTGTTTTCCTTTACACTAATGGAAAATGACCAATATTGTAGTACTGGTAGTAGATACTGGAACAAATATGGCATCTGATAGCTCCCTAATTTAAAGTCAGAGGGGTTTGACCTAAAGCTCAACAAAATCTCCCCAGGGATTCCCTATACAAACACACAAAACACACCCTTCCCAGATGGTCCAGGTGGAAGGCAGAGACAGCACAAGAAATGGCTCTTGGAGAGTCCTTATACTGGTCAGTCACAGGCTGCTGCGAACCAGGGAACTTCACGCACCATCTCGTTATTTGATGGGATTCACATTCTCTCAGATTTGTGTGTGATGAATAATGCAAGTGTGTTGAATCAAGCTGGAGGAAAATTGTTCTTTCTCCAGCTTATTATTAACTCCTTGTTGCATAATATATTTGGCATAAGTTTGTTCTGTGGCATTTTAACATGTAGGTAGATGATATTTGTATGTGAGTAATTTTACTGTTACATGTGCTTCTATTTTATATTTGATTTTAAATTAGAGAACAAAAAGGCATCCTTTCCACTTGGTTTTGCTCCTTACTTAATGCAGGCACGTTTCCTATGCTGGGTATTCTGCAGTTTTTGCATGCTCTGGCTTTGAAAGGCTTCAGTGATGGGGCTTAATCTGAAAAATGGTACTCATTTGTGGTGTGTGTTTCTTGAGATTCCATCTTTATTTCCCATTTTAATAGTTAATTCTATCACAAGTTCATATGTGTCCTTGGGACTGTTCAAAATATTTTCCCTTTCCTGTTGTTAAGACTAGAATATGAGTGCATAGCTTTAATTTTTGTCTACTGCTTTCATTCTTACTAACCAAACTGCATTTTAATTGTGTTTTATCTTCAATCCTCTAGAGACACCAGGTTTTGCCATTTAGAATAAGTGTATTTTGAGAACAAAATCTTTTTTTTTTTTCTAAACAGCAGTGAGTGTTTAATCTTAGAGCTTTTCAGAAGTTTAAACAACTTCTGTACACCCCTCTGAAAACGCACACTGCTCCCAGATTTTCAGCTCCAGCCCAAGGAGATTCCAACTCTCCAATTGCAATTTTGCAGGCACTTCGGGGAATTGCTGCTTTTCAGGACAGCGAGCAAGACTGGGGTCGTGGAGCCCTCTGCTGGGTATATTACAGAAAGCAGACAACTGGAAGCTTAAGTCATTAACTCTGAAAATGCTATTGCTGTGCTCTCATATTCCTTTCGCAGTTGATTACAAATGTGCTTAATTTGAAATCCAAAAGAAGTTTATTTCCATTGCTCCTGGGAAAAATACTGTTACAATTTCAGAGTGGTACAGGTAAGTTAATCTTCATCTCAAGGTGACAATTAGATTTATTAGAGTCTTTTTGTCTTTACTCTTCCTTGGTATCAGGAAAATTCTACATGAATATTTTATTGGTTTCTTACTGCTACACGTACATCTTATCACAGCTACAAAAAGGTCTTGTAGTCAAATGACAGATATTTCTGAGGCTGTCTGTGACAAAAGGGTCTGTTTCATTCCTGTATTGTGACTTATTTAGCTTTGTAGTGTTCACAGGTATAAAAACTTAATTCTTTTTGTGACAGAGAAATGGGCAATTCATCTAAAAATAAATAGCAAAGTACATGAATAACAAGTGAATAATTTGTCATAATTCTGTCAGGGAACTCAGTGTGCTTTACATTTGTGGTTTATAATTTTATATACAGTAGGTTGGAGTAGAGAAAGATGATGACTGTTTCCAAAAATTCTGTGTCAGAGCCAGCAAAAGAAATCAGGAATTTATATTTCCTGACTCATCCTACAGTTAGAAGTGTGCTACTTGGAAGTGTTTGTTGGAGGGGAAAAAAAAATAGAAAAGAAAACATGAACAAAGGGTTTTTCCAGTCTCTGATTACATGTTGGGCTAAGCCAGTCTATAAGGGGCCAGGGTGTCTTGAGCTGCTCCTTTGATTTGGCCAACTGTAAAGGAGCAATAGGAAGATGCTGCTGAAGAGCCCCGAAGAGGGTTTTGTTCTGCAAAAGGCCCTTAATGCTGTTATATAGGATGGTGATGTACTTAAGCCAGTGGAAGAAGTAATTCTGAAGTTGGTAGTAATAGCAAAAAACTTCTGAGAATATCAGGCAATCTGACAGCTGTGAGGAGCTTTTAGACTGCTGAGTTCTTGGATGTGTTTTTCCTGGGTGCAGATCATGTCAGTGTGCTGTGCTCTACATTGCACAGCTTTTCTGAGCTTTAAAATGTTGTGATTTCTTGCATTTTAGCTGTGAATGCATACCCTACTGCCAAGAACTTTCTGACCCGGCAGTACTTCTTCTCAGCCATGTGCCAATGTAAGTATTGGACAGTTTGCCAGGCCAAGGCCAAAGTGTTTTCAATTTAATTTATTGGAAGCTTGTTAGTTTGTCATGTGTATTATAGATAAAATATTGACAGGATCTGTCATACATGAAGGATATTGTCATCTTCTATTTTTTGTAGCAGGTAACGGGCAATATTCAAACATGAAGAAGGCTCTCTCTAATTTAGAGGAATTTTAAGAACTGGAAAATAAGGGTACATACCTAGCTATATTTGAACGTGTCTCTGAATTTACATAACAAATGCCTGACTTTTGCAGTTGGCAGAACTAAAATATGGAGAGGATCAGAACATGATTTAAGCACTCCATCTTACTGCTATCTCTGATTTCTTTTGTTCAGATGTATTTCTTTTGTTTGCATTTAATGGCAAAAATCTATTTCTGTACTGGGAAGAACTCGGGACATTTGGGTTCTGAGCCTCATCTCCTCGGTCTTTAGGTATTTATCCTTATTTCACAGAGAGACAAAGGAAGACAAGCAACATTTGGCCTTTTTTTCTTAAAACACTTGGAGATCTTCTACTGGAAAGTGTATTAAAAAGCTATACACTTCTCATGCAATTATGTAGCCTTTCTTTAATATACCCAACCACTTCATCT